TAGTCTTTCTCACTCCGCTTTACAGCGGAACATCAGTGATTATGTGTTACAATGGCGTTAGCAACCAGAAAATGACACCAGTAAGGACAAACAGATGAGAATGCTGTGTGGGGTCTGGGTGCCGTGTTGGCGGGACGTTGCGCGGCTCGCTGCTGTGAGGAGCGGACAGTGTGAGCTGCTTGCTGCGTGGGATCTGCGAGACATCGCGAATGGACGCGGGAAGGGGGGGGGGATGCTGAGGGGGCTACAGCACCCCCATCTGCGAGGCTCCACTAGTAACCGCTAGTTTGATTAACTATAAATGAACTAAAGAATTTAGAAACTGTGAGTGCTGTTGTCAAAACCTTAAACAGTTCACTTTTAGATGACTTTCTTGTCTTTATTGCCAACTTGTTGGTTGTTGCTGCAACCCGGAGAGGTTCTGCTTTTGTTTTTGTTTTCTCGTTGTGTAACCACTGTTGCGTCAAATCGGTCAGGCTTAATAACATTAATGTATTAAAAAGTCTCAAATATCACACTTTTATTTATATTTAATTATTCACAAACATTTCAAATGGACAACAAGTTCGTAGCACACTCAGGATGTTTTGTTCTGTTAAACATGACTCTAAAGTTTCATTGAATTATAAATACACATATTATTAATGCAGCAGCTTAGGAAATGTTGCTTCTGGCAGCGATGCATTTGTTTGTATATTTCATGGAATTATTTTTTGTTTACATTTGAATGAATGAAATTGCAATGTGAAGCTCGACAAGCTATTATCTACTATGACAGGCTAAAACATTTGTCAGTCATGCAATCACACGGCGACAGCAATTTGCCACGCAATGACGTAAAAGGGAGGCTTTTTATTTTATTTGTATAACTAAGCCTTTAACCTTATTTTAAATGTTTTTAATATCTTAAAGAAGAATGTTGTTTTTCTGAGATAGTTGAACAGTTTATGTGAAGAAGCGTTGCCACTGTTGGGCTTATAAGGACATGTTATGCTGTTGTTGTCTTTTAAGTGTCTATTAAACTATATCTATTAATAACTGAATGAGGTCAGTTCTCTGGGAGAATAGTTTTTGAGCCAAACAGCCCGTAGCCTTCTGGCGGCTGTGAGGATATAACTATCCTACTTTCTAATCATCTGTGTCCAGGAAAATAAATAATCCAAGGAACTACTAGAACAAAGTTTAGGAGCGTTTCCCGTGGCTTCTTCAAAGTTTGAAATGCATCCGGTTATTGTCTTTAAAGAAGTAGGGGCAGGGGATTCTGCTATCAGAGCCCACCCAGTGTTGTGAGACAGAACTACTGGCTTTCTCTTTCTAGCAAACACAAATCAGGAAGTTGTCGACTGTTGTGTCTTGTTTTCCTCTCCGCCTCAGCTTTATCTCTCTCTTACACACTCTGGCTCCATGTAGCCGATAAGAAAAAACGTCTCTCTGTCTTCTCTTTATCTTCTACATGCTCTTGCTTTTCTTCCTTCTTTCTTCCTTTGTCTTATTTTTTGTCGGTTTTTCACACTTTATGTCTACGTTTCCTCTATCTGCTACCACTGAATATCTGAATAAAATGGTATGAAGTATGTTGATAAGCAGTATAACATATGCAGTGACTCTGACCTCTAACGGTGTGAATATAGTGAATTCAATCTGCATGTTGTTTCTTACTTTATGAATTAATCATGTGAACAAAATAATACTCTTCTTTAAAACTTGCTTAAAAATCAACCTTCATTTAACTTTACTTCCCCTGTTGTGGTTAAGCTTATTTCCTTGAACTCATTGCTTCACTCTTGTGAGGGCTTCCTGCTGTATGATACAATGTTTCTGTCTGCCAGTGACCCACTTAACCCCACTGACAAAACACCTTACTGCCAGATCAAATTCAACGTGAGGGCATTCAGGCTTCAGGCCAGATGATCAAACATGCCATTACCACTACTTAAGAAACAAACATTACGGCTGATAATAAATCACTATTCAGATAGGGCTTAACTATTTCTATAGTTTAGAACAATCTTTGTTAACCATTTATATACAGTGGTGTAAAATAACTAAGTACATTGACTCAAGTACTGCATTAAAGTACAACTTTAAAAAGGGACATGTTCTGCTACTTTGTACTTCTACACCCCACAACAATTCAGAGGTAAACTGTGTACTTTTACTCCACTACATGTATTTAACACCTTAAGTTACTTTTCAGAAGTCGATTAATAGTATAAAACATAATCAGCACTTAAATAAGATTTTAGTTACACCTGGAGTAAATTCACAAACTACCCAGATGTGAATACAAGGGAAAACAAGTTTCCACCTTTACCAGCTATGATAAACATAAATAATGAATCAATCATTATAATAAAAACATATGATATATATTAAACAAATCCAAAAAAAGGCAAGTATTCCTACTCTCTGATACTTACGCTTTTACTTAAGTACAATATACTTCTTCCACCTCGGTTTATATAAGCTACAGTAGTTTATGGTAACCACCTGTAGCTATTGGATGTCAGTGTCACAATTGCTTCTTGTCTACATTGCTACCACAACACAAAACATGTGTGCATAATAACATACTTAGGCTATGCTTGACTGTTAGTTAATAATGGCCAGTTGTTGCTGCTCATCACTTCAATGTGTTGCTAAAGTTCTAAAAACGTGTTCTTTATTTCAAACTTGGATATAAAACGAATAGAACTTTCAGTCACTATGTTATACTGTAGTAAACACATCAAATGTTGTTTCTCTCTTGCCAGGAATTGCTCCAGTCTACTGCAGCTTGTTTGCCCTAATGAGGGAAAGTGAAAAGATATGGTTCCCTCCTAACCACATCTTTAAACTAGACCACCCAGCCAGTGAGAGCCTGCACTTTAGAATCAGGTAAATATTTGTAGCATGTATTTTAGTAATGTTGTGAATGCTTTTCAGACTTTACATGTGTTTTATGCTCAGACTTATTTTGAAACCGGATTCTTCTGGCCACATTTTCTCTCCAGATACTATTTCCCTGGCTGGTATAACAGCAGCAATTCATTGTATGCCCACCGCTATGGCGTGTCCAAGGGGATGGAGAGCCCTGTGATGGATGATTGTGTCATGGCATACCAATTTCTTCAGGTTAGTCTTCATGGCTTGCACCTCATATCATTATTAAGACTGCTATTTTCTTTTGTTTAAGGTACTTTGTTTGTTGGCACTTCACATTTGTATTTGTGAATTAAATAAAATAGCTTTCCACTTCCTTTTTATTAAATAATGCAGACAAGTTGGGTTGGGAGTATAAAAAAGGCTTGCTTCCTTCTCTCTATATGACTGCCTGTCCGTGTGTCATGACAGTCATTGTGTCAGTTCAGAAAACAGGAAGTGTGTTAGTTAGTGTGTTTAAGAAGCACATTTGCGTAACGGTATTTTAGGCTTCTCTTTACTGTGTGTTTGTGTGTTTACCCTTTCCCACATGCGTATGTGAACTTGACATATGCAATGCAGCATGGATGAGGGTTGTTTTTATCTCTGTTGACATATGCCTTTGTTGATTAAATATTAACTTAAAGAGCCTGTGACACGAACCCAACAACTGTTGTGCAATGAAATAGTATTTAATAATATTAAAGGATTTCCCCTTTAAAATACACTTTCTTATTGTAACATTCAGTTTTATGTGCCATAAAGACGTTTATATGTCTCGGAGGAAGGCATTTCGTTTTTGGGTTGCAATACCACAATATCTTAGGCACACACCTGAAAGGAATCTATTCAAATATGTCACAAAGACGTCAACATGAGGCATATAAACGCTGTCATTTTCCTCCTCCAGTGGCGGAGTGACTTCCTGAATGGCTTGGCTCCTATTCCGGTGAACCACGAGGCCCAGGAGGAGTGTCTGGGCATGGTGGTGCTGGACATGATGAGGCTCGCCAAGGAGAGTGGAAAGTCACCCGTGGACATCTACAATGATACCAGGTAGGATAAACTCACTCACTAAATGTAAGTAGTTATTGTGACTTGTTCTGCTTTCATACACTATTCAATCTAAAGCAGGGGTTAGTAAAATGGTCTCTGAAAAAAAAATATATATAGTAATGTGAATTTTGAAGCCACCTGGAAGAATCAGGAAGCTGGTAGAGTGGACTAGTAAACAATAAAACATTTAACTTGTGCTCAGAAAACCAAAATTCAAGACAATGTCGATCTCATTAAATGCTGTTCTGTCTTATGTGTCTCTGCTATGCTGGCGTGCATGTGGTATGTACAGGTCATGAATAACGAAAGCAGTTTGACACAGTGAGAATCAATATAGTTTCATTACTGTATATGTTTTCATGCAGCTGAATGACTTGTCTTTTTCCTACGAGATAAAAAAGGGTCTACAATATCTAATCTTTATAATATGTATGCACTGTGTCCAGACTCTTTCACATATTATTCATCAGTAATATACGGTTTTTGTTGGTATTATTTGTTCATCATTCCCTCCTCTTTTAGTATATCTTCACCTTATCCACCCTGTCTGATCCCCTCTCCTGCTTTCAGCTACAAATCATTCCTGCCCAAATGCATGCAAGGCCGCATCCAGGAGTACAACATCTTGACTCGGAAAAGGATCCGCTATCGCTTTAAGAAGTTCATCCAGCAGTTCACTGACTGCAAGGCCACCGTTTGTAACCTCAAACTGAAATACCTGATGAACCTGGAGGAGAAGCTGCCCTGCCTGTACTCAGAGCGCTTCCAAGTCACAGACCTCTCCGCACGGGAGGTTACCATCGTTGTCATGGCCGACACAGGCATCCAGTGTTCGAAAGGGAAAGAGGAGGACGACGCAGAAGAGGTGAGGAGAGGGGTTGCCGTGGTAATGCATTTGTGCACCACAGTGCCATGCTGTTTATTTGACCAATAGAAGGAGCTCCAGGAGTTGGTTACAATAACAACGAAAGTGCATGTGTTAGCACACTTCTGTCTTCATTTAAAACAAATGTTAACCACTACTTTGTATTCCTTTTGTGTCGCCAGGAGCTGCAGACATACTGTGACTTCTCAGAGGTGATCGACATCAGCATCAAACAGTCCAATAAAGAAGGCTCCGTGGAGAGTCGCATAGTGACTCTCACCAGACAGGACAACCACATCCTGGTAGAGTACACTCTTCAGTCTTCAGTGTAGTTTAATATTCACTCCTGCCTGTGAACCAGAGTGGGGACATTATAACTCTACTCAGCAACGGGTTCAAATGGCAACATACAGTACTTGCTGTCAAAGTTAGTTACAGGATATAAAGATGAACATCTCACAATTGTTTACTATTTAAAATAATTAGCTATTCTAAAATGCATAAATACATGGATTAAAAAAACCTATTTTGGAGATACTTACTTATAAATGATTGGCGGGCCACATGGCACCCTATTTGGCCCCCAGTTTATCAATGGAACATAACCTATTGAAGTGAACATGATTTAAAGAACAAAATAGGTAATAAATGATGTATGTTTCTGCATCCCCTCTCTGTACTCTCTTTCTCTATCTGACCATCAAGGAACTGGAGTTTCGCTCGCTCCCAGAGGCTCTGTCCTTCGTGTCATTAGTGGATGGGTATTACAGGCTGGTTGCAGACGCCCATCATTATCTGTGTAAAGAGGTGGCTCCACCAAGACTTCTGGAGTGCATTCAGAGCTACTGCAACGGCCCTGTGTCGTGAGTACCACACGCATGCACAGATATAGGTTGTCACCCATGCACCCACAACCACAGCAGCAATCACACAAGTTCATTTTGTCTCTCTTATCACAGGATGGAGTTTACCATCGGTAAGCTGCGTCGCTCTGGTAACCACCAAGGCCTGTACCTCCTCCGCTGCAGCCCCAAGGACTACGACAAATACTTCATGTCATTCGTGGTGGGGGTAAGGGTCCACATTAATGTGAAGTACTGTATTTCCCAATCAATCAATTTTTATGTATATAGCCCAATATCACACATGTTACATTCGTCTCAGTGGCCTTCACAGTTTGTACAGAATATCAGTATGAGAAAGTTTGACTAAAACCCAGTATTCATTCAAGTGTGCCCATCATTACTTGTAAATGTTGCCCATATCTTCCTTCCACTGGAGGGAGCAATAGGTCCAATTTCCACATAAAATGGACAATCCAGTTTATATGCAAAACCATACTGTGACTCAGGCATGTTGTATCTCTTCTCTTATAAACCTCATACATCCGATGCAGCATCTTTGAGCTCCTATTTGTAAATACATTGAATCAAGTTGAGAATTTTACTTCAAATTTGGTAGCACCGATGGTCTTGAATACATTGAAATAACCGATTTTTAAATGTAAAGTCGGTCTTGAATTAATAGTCATGATCATTTAAACATGTTTTTCTTGCTAATCTAATCCTCATCCAAATCGGATGACAAATCAGACACACTTAGATAAATCAATTAGGTGTCCTTCAATGTTACAGTATTTGAGTACCAATGTCTCGAATCCTAAAATGTAATCATTTATATTTTCAGTATGAAACTTTGGTGGACTATAAGCACTGTCAGATTGTGAAGATGGAGACAGGAGAGTACAATCTGAGCGGAGCCAAGAGGAGCTTCAGCTCGCTCAAAGAGCTGCTGCACTGCTACCAGAAGGAGGCGCTGCGCACCGATGGATACACGTTCCAGCTGAGCAGGTGCTGCTCGCCCAGCCTCAAAGGTGAGGGTTCACTCACAGACAGACACCAATACACTATAAATACAAGCACATTCATCAACACAGTTCAATTAAGACATGTACTGTTAAATGCAGGTATTCCATGCCATTAGAGTATCCTCCGTAACAGTTAAGACCTTTTCACTCAGTTGTATTTAGATGATATACTGTAGGGATGAAATGTATTTTTGCCTGATTCAATTGCAAACCTATGCGTGAGTTTGTTTAAAACCATTAATCGAGTCATGATATAATTATAAATGGAGCTAATATTGAACATGACCTTGTCCACATACCTTGTTAAAGTGATTAAAGTCACGAGAAGCTCCCATTTCGACGTCCTACATCAATTGTGTTAGAGCTTAATACAGTCTCTCTTTGACACTGTTATCTTGTTACTATTTATTACGTTTTCCTTACGAAACGGCTTCAATCCCAGCTGTCACCATGTTCAAGTTACTGTTTACATCAGATGTCAATTGAACAATTATTAGCTAAACCATTGCTATTTCTATTGCATATCGCAAATTGAAAAATGGAATCCCCCTGTAATCATAATCTGAATTTGTTGTGACTTACCTTTCCTTAGAGAAGTCCAACCTGGTGGTGTGCAGGAATAATCGCGGGGCAGATGTTCCTCTGTCTCCCTCGCTCCACAAACACAACATCAGCCAGATGGTCTTCCACAAGATCCGAAAAGAGGACCTCGTCATCGTAAGATAACCCTTTTAACGCTTTTCCCCTCATCTGAATGAAGCCACACACGTTCAGAACTCTCCCTGCAGTCTTAGTGTGAACATATTTAGGTTCATTGTAGAAGCGTGTAACAGGATCAAAAAGGTCTTTGTGTCCAGTTTATTTTGCTAAGAAGGTGATCTGTAATTGGGTGGACGGTGTCTTTGTTAATAATATAATAAAGTTGTCAATATGACTGAGTGTCTAGAATGGGAAATGAACTCCTGTGGGGGTCAGTAAGGTCGCGTCAATTAACAAAAACACTTCCTCATTGATCCGCCAACTGTCACCAGCTTTACCAGCAATCCCTGTGGACACGTGTGATTGCATTGTGTGTGTGCATGTGACTCTCACTGTTGCTTTCCGTCTCTTCTTGCCTGTTATTTGAGCACATGAGGCAGGTCTGTCACAGGAAAACCACAGAAGTTGTTCAAGCAGAGAGCCTTATCTGTATCACAAGACTAGAATCAACAGGTGTTTTTTTTTTTATCTTCCTGTTTTGAACATGTGCTTAGCATGTGCTTGTGAGATGCTTACCCGCAAATCTATGTAGTTGAATCTGAAGCAGTCAAAGCCATGGGTTCAGATACGGCCCACTTGGCTTCATGTGAAGAAGCTTGTGTCATTTATGTTGTCATTAAATTGTAATTATAATATCGTACATCAGAAAGGTCTTTGCCAAATAGGCTCTGTGGTTTACTGCTTAGAGGGTTCCAGTAATCATGGGTAGAGAGACATGGTGGAAATGCATCCCATCTCCAAAGTAGGTTTTTAAAATGATAAATCTCTTGTGTTTTAGAAAGAGAGTCTGGGCCAAGGAACTTTCACCAAGATTTTCTGTGGTGTGAGGAAGGAGACGGGAGACTACGGGGAGATTCACAAGATAGACGTCGTTATCAAGATCCTGGACAAGTCTCACCGCAACTATTCAGAGGTTAGCTGAGTGACTGATCTGAAACTCTGAGGAGTTCAAAGAGACAAGCGTTAATATTGAATCTCTTCTTTCCTTTCTCCCCCACAGTCCTTCTTTGAAGCAGCCAGTATGATGAGCCAGCTCTCCCACAAGCACTTACTCCTCAACTTTGGCGTGTGTGTTTGTGGCAATGAGAGTAAGTCCATAGAACACACACAGACACAGACAGACAGAAAGGAATCAAAGTGGTTTTCCTTTAAACTGTGGCATGTAATAAGAATGCTGTTAGAACTTTAATAAGAGGGATATTTAGACAAAGATGAAACAAAGGAAACTAAGAAAGGCAAGGAGACAATCAAACCGTGAGGAGATAACGTTTCTGACCTGCTCTCAGCTGTGCTTTGACCGGATTAGGCCTTGGGATCAACAGGTCACCACTGAGCCACTGCAATATGGATCTTAACTCCACCTAATACTGGCTCCACACGTCAGAGTATTGTGTCAGGAAACCTTTCTAGAGCATTCTGGAACAAAGAAAGGAAGGTTATAATAAATGACTTGGAAAATAGATGTGTCACTGATACAAATAAATGTTTTCCTGTGTGTGTTAGGGTGTTCAATTCTCTATTAAAACCTGGCATATGGTGCACTTAAAGTGTAATAGTATAACAATTAACCTCTCAGCTGGGATAGTCAAATCCGAAAAGTACCAGATGGCAGAATATGGATGGAGAAATTAAGGTGTGCACACCGGTTTTTTTTTTTAAAGAAAACAAAATAAATCGGCTACAATAAGATTTATTTGAAATGTGTTGTCAGAGTAAATGAATCCTCCACACCTGACTCAACAAAAAATACAACTCATTTCACCATGTAGCTGTGTGAAAAATTAATGTCACAGTACGAAACAGTCTTTGTTGACCAGCATTTATCCAATACATTTCAAATGTTTAAACCTCAAACCTCCCCGGGCGCTTTGCAATAGCTGCCCACTGCTCCTCGTACTAGACTCCTGGTACTAAGATGGGTTAAACACAGAGGCCAAATGTCACTGTGTGTGCTGTGTGCTCTGCATGTGTGACCATTAAAGAGGGTTGCATCCCTCCCATTCTATCTATCTATCAAACTAGTTAAATGGATGTTTTTTTTCAAAGAATGAAATTAATAAAATGCTTTCTCTCTCATCTCCCTACAGACATGATGGTGCAGGAGTATGGTAAATTTGGTTCACTGGACACCTACCTGAAGAAGAATAAAAGCTGTGTTAACATCACCTGGAAGCTAGAGGTGGCCAAGCAGCTCTCCTGGGCTATGCACTACCTGGTAAGACATAATGAAGAGGACTACCTTCAACTCATATGGAAATACAACTAGTTGAGCTAGGTCATTTATGTTGTCCCCGTCACGTTAGGGAGGCGTGTGGCGCAGTTGGGATCAGGGGGTCACAGGTTCAAACCCCATTGCAGTCAACATGTCGTTGTGTCCCTGGGCAAGACACTTCACCCCAAATTGCTCCTGTGGGGATTGCCCATAGTATTGAATATGTAAGTCTCTTTGGATAAAAGCGTCTAACAGGTAACATGTAATGTGCACACAGGAGGATAAGAACCTCATCCATGGAAATGTTTGCGCCAAGAATGTTCTTTTGATCCGAGAGGAGGACCGGATGACGGTCAGCCTGCCCTTCATCAAACTCAGTGACCCGGGCATCAGCATCACCGTGCTGCCCAAAGAAGGTGAGACACACAGAGTCATGAACTGTCCTGATGTGAGAACACTTGCACCTCACACCTGTGAGGAGGCACAGGTCATGTGAAGATAATGTGAGCCTCAGGTTTTTCCCCTACCTTCAATTCACGTATTTCCTTCTCTATGTTCTCTGTCTCCCTATCAGTTCTGGTGGAGCGTATCCCATGGGTGGCCCCGGAGTGCATTGAAAACCCCCAAAACCTGAGTTTAGCCACAGACAAGTGGGGCTTCGGGACCACCCTCTGGGAGATCTGCAGTGGAGGAGACAAACCTCTCAGCACCCTGGACTGCTCCAAGGTCACAAACACACAGGATTCATTTAGAGTTTAAACTGACTGTAAAAGTTCCGTATCACAAGAATGTTCCGGTGGAAAAAATAGTCCCAGTGACCTTTGGCACACTTTGATGTTAGAGATGCAGTTAAGCCATTTTGACTATTTACAATAACTTTTTAATTCCGTATAGACTTTAGAGAGTTATCATCTTATCTGACTTCTGGCAATTATACAAATAACTATATTTATAATATCCAACTATTATTTTATCTCACGCAATTAGTTTTAAAGTAAGAGAGACTCAGGGATTTGAAACAAATAGATTATTTTAATAAATGTCTGCTGTAGCTTTATCATTTCCAGATTGAAAACGTAAAATGTTTGCTCTGCAGAAGAACTTGTTCTATGAGGACAGGCACCAGCTGCCGGCTCCTAAATGGACGGAGCTGGCCAATCTGATCAACAGCTGTATGGACTACGAGCCCTCACACCGACCCTCCTTCAAAGCCATTATCAGAGATCTCAACAGCCTCTTCACTCCGGGTAAATCATGTGGATGTGCTATAAGAACACTCTTCATCTCTGGTTTTGATCTAGATTTCTTTTATTCAACCCCTTTTCTCTTCCAGACTACGAGCTGCTGGTGGAGAGCGACATGGTGCCCAGCAGGACTCGAGGCTGCAGCTTCCCGTGGGCCTCAGAGAGCCACGAGCCCGCCCAGTTTGAGGAGAGACACCTCATCTTTCTCAAGCAGCTGGGCAAAGTGAGGAACGCTCACACAGTATACTTGTATTAGTCATTTTCTTTTTGTATGATAGTCCTTCATCTCCTTTTAGTATTCAAATAATGTCCGTATGTGTGCATGGTTATAACAATATATGAGATCGTTTTGCTAGGTTCTTTAGTGACTTTAAATCTAAATATTTGTCTATATTAGGAAATATTCCCCTTGAGAGAAATGTCACACTTCTTTTAAAACAATAGAGAGTCAGTGTCTTTGTGTGGGTGTTTCTATGTGGAAAAGCAGATAAATTGATTATATACAGTAACCAGAACTCAACCCACTCATCAGTTTCCGCTCAGCAGTTATTAATATTAAAACATTTTTTGAAGATGGTGTTTCATTTTTACTGCCATACTAGTCTCTTGTTGAGATAAGGTTACCTCGCTGATAGCATCCCAGTTGATAAGACTTCGCTACATTAGAACATATGATTTAATGTCTGCTTGAACTCCCAGCTGCTGTTTCTAAACCTCTTGAATCTGCTCTGCAGGGAAACTTTGGCAGCGTGGAGATGTGCCGGTACGACCCCCTGCAGGACAGCACGGGGGAGGTGGTGGCCGTGAAGAAGCTGCAGCACAGCACGGCGGAGCACCTCAGGGACTTTGAGCGGGAAATCGAGATCCTCAAATCCCTCCAGCATGAGAACATCGTGAAATACAAAGGAGTCTGCTACAGCGCAGGTACGAGCAACAAATGTATTAGGAGATAGAAAGTCACAATAAAAGGTGGGATTATGCATCCTTTCCCTGTCATTGAAATCTATTGACCTGTTCAATTAAAATATGACAGTAATCAAAATAAATGCTCAATTTAGTCTGCCTTATTCTTATTATTTATCATGAGTGTTTCCAAGATGGATAAAGGGATAAGAGGACATTCTCTTATGAAAAAGACATTCAAACATTTATCAAATTAAATGATATACTTGATCAGTTTAGCCCCCACAATGAAGTCTTTGATATTTCCTTCCACAATGTGTACAGAAGCATGAAAGTATATATTTTCCTTGTTGGCATATTTAAATGAAGCAATAATTGGCCTGATGAATCTTGATCCTTTGCAGAGATCTGGGAAGTGTGTTTCACTTCCCCCGGCAGATTGTTATATATTTTCATTCATGTACAATTGTCGCTGCCTAGGGTGTAGTGACCGAGCCCATTAAATGAATACATCTAGATTTCCTCATAGGCCTTCGATCCACTGCTCACACGTCATACTTCTAAGTATCGCACTTAACTTTGTTTGTGCAGGACGGAAGAACCTCCGACTGATCATGGAGTACCTCCCCTACGGCAGCCTGAGAGATTACCTCATCAAACACAAGGACCGCTTCGACTTCAGCAAACTGCTGCACTACGCGTCACAGATCTGCAAGGTATTCCAAAAGCAGTGAGGCAGACTTTAAGGGTCTTTTATGTTCGTGGTGATCCTCTCTTTCTAAGATGCTCTCCAATGTAACTGAAAATATGCTAGTTTATTTGTATATGCTTTCAAACTCTCCTATCTCTGATTAGGGAAATGTAATTTGCTTTTGACTTGTGGTCACCTGTTTGATCACGTGTGTTTATAAATACATTTACAGCACAAAGAGGTATCATTATTTTGAGCTCATGCTGTATTTCTTCTTGACAAACACAATGGCCTAAGCTTTTGAATACGAGCATTATTAACCATGGCAGGGAGTATACTGTGATAATGACCTCATTAGTGCACATTATGTACGAGCGTTTATTGCAGAGCTGAAACTGTGAAGGTGTGGTTAGGGAGCGGATGTTGGTCTACAAATCTGAATAATAAAATATAATATATATGGAAATCTACAAAAAAGACAAACACCTTAAAATATTAATTGTATCTTCTATTCATGCAACAATTTTGTCTCAGATGGTGGGATATAGATATTGTATAAATGTATGCATGTTTTTTGTTCCCGATGTTTTATTCTTTAGTTTGTTCCTTTCTAAGAGGCACAATCTGTACAATATTATATTTAGATGTTTTCCTTAAAGTTCATAAGTAACACCAGTTCTCTTTCTCTGTGCGATTCTATCCACACTACAGGGCATGGACTACCTTGCCACTAGGCGGTACATCCACAGAGACCTGGCCACGAGGAACGTCCTGGTGGAGAGCGAGATGAGGGTGAAGATCGGAGACTTCGGCCTGACCAAGGTGCTGCCGCACGACAAGGAGTACTACACCGTCAGAGAGCCAGGGGAGAGCCCCATCTTCTGGTGAGGAAGACTTGGACATGTATTTATAATAGTCTAGGTTGACATCGATGAAGATAAAGGAGAATGATTTTCATGTTTTCTTTGTTCTTGTATGCCTGTATATCTCTCTGCTTGTTAAATATGAACAGTGTTTAACAATGTGTTCAGGCCTCAGTAAATGATGTTTCATGTATGTCAAATGTTTTGTGTTTTTTTTTCCCAGGTATGCTCCAGAGTCGCTGACAGAGAGCAAGTTCTCTGTGGGATCAGACGTCTGGAGTTTCGGCGTTGTCCTCTACGAACTCTTCACCTACAGTGACAAGAAATGCAGCCCACCGGCGGTACTCGACATATTCTTCTTCTTCTTCTTTCTTTCAAATTTGGTTTTAAGTTTGACAAACTTATTTCCCCCTTTTAGTCATCTCACAATGTTCCTACTCTACCCCTTCAACTTAATTGGGCTATTTTAAGACTGTCGAGAAATCAGTTGATTAAGCACTCAATAAAACAATAAACACTTGTCGTTTTTATTTTGTCCTTTTCATTTGGGACATTTTACCAAGCTGTTTTAATTAAAGCCAAACAATAACAACACTTGTTTTCTGTTCTAGGTGTTCATGGACAAAATGGGAAATGAAAAGCAGGGCCAGATGATCGTCTACCATCTGATAGATCTTCTGAAACAGGGATACAGGCTGCCTGCTCCTGATAATTGTCCAAATGAGGTCAGTAACTCTATACAAGCTATACAATTACAAAGTACTCTGTTTTAGTTTGAATAAAAACTGTTGGTATGATATCTTATTTATGAAGTTGAGCAAACAAGGCTCAGCCATCACACCAAAATACACAGTTGTACGTATTGTTTGTTCCTGTGTTAATGTCCATGCTCTTCGTTCAGATGTACAAGATGATGACAGAGTGCTGGAGCAGCGAGCCGGGACTGCGCCCTTCATTCAAGACATTAATCCACAGTGTGGAGACTGTACGAGAGAACAAAGACACATTGCAGCTTAACCTTTGACCTTTAGGTGTCCACTGGGGAGTCAATCCTCACTGAAGGTGTCAGTGACCTCACTGCTGTGATGCAGTCGGACGTCCACTCGTGTTCTTTTGTGGCTCTGCATGTCGCTCAAACAGGGATGATGAGTGGTAGTATCTACTTTCTTAGCAGTTTAGCTTGACATGTTGTAATAACCTGGTTGATTATTACACTAGATCTGACTTAAACACCAAATATAAGACATGAGATGCTTTTTTTTTTTTTAATTCACAATTGAATACATTATTTTTTTTATGTTATTCTCTAGTCTAAGTAAGTTGTGTTGGATGTTTAAGCCTTGAAATCAGTATCAGTAGCAAACATATATAAATAACCAACAAGCAGCATTTTGTTTGTTAATGCACACAAGGGGAGCAGTTATGAACATCTCTACAGGTGGTTACAAATCACATTCCTGCTGTTACAGATGTTTATTACACATTGAGGTAACTTCATGCCGATTGAGCGTCTGGCCCACTGATAAAAGATTTAGCATTTGCAAGATAACGAAATTGGTGTCTGTTGTGACATTCCAAGGAAAAAGGATACATGGTTCACAGAAGGGGAATGGGATCTCAAAACTCTTGCTTTGCTTCCCTGAGATTTGAACTTAATCACCATCCACTTATTTATTTACATCACTTCATGCAATGTGCAAACAAAAAGCATTACAGACATTTCCTTAAGATCTGGGCAGCGAGAAGTGTCAGATCATGGACTAATGTATACAACGTTAGTCCAATGCTTTGTTTTTGAAACCGGAAATGATGAGGGTGATGTAATAAGTGATGGGTTGATGTCTTTTTTTTTTATAATTACAGTATAATGTTTGCAGTGTTACAAGGATATTTTGTCTGTAGATACAGAACCTTTTGTCATCATGTGTCCACCCATTTAAAGTGACTAAGGAGCATGTGCATAAGTTAAATATGTGTCCTGAGGTGCTTTGCAATGTCTGCCAAAAATGTGTCTTTAAAAATGGAATGTTTTAAACGTTTTTTTTACAGTATCTATCAATGTGTGTACTGACTTAACGAGGGGATTGTTCAAAGTCAGTCCCTGAACAGATTGTAATTTGTGGAACAGCATCTGTCTTATTTGGAAAAAAAACGAAGTTATTTTTTGTGGCAAATCTTACACACGCTCACACAAAATGTCAAAGGACGGACGCCCTCTCACATCCCTGAGAATAAGTCATTGTAAAGAGCAACGCTTTCTCACTTACAAACATACCAGCGCTCTAACCTCGGGCACTACCACAATCACACATTGTTTACGTCAAGTCTGTGTCTTCAGAGTTTCTAAATCTTGCCAAGACGGAAAATTTACTTTATTTTCCCACCTCAGATATTTTTCCTCATAAAGCCCTTATTGTGAAGTTTGTACATTGGTGTGTGAACCAAATATTATTTTGTGAAGTATGTATTTATCACAAGATTGTCAGGAAAACAAAGGATGTTAAACCAGATTTAACTGGTGTTTTTTTTACCATGTTTCATTTGAGTTTTGTTCAGTGTCAGTGACACCTTGTTCTGTCATCCAACGGAAAACATGCAGCTACATTTATGACATGTATAGATAAATGTAAATATTATAAAAATTGATATGTATTATATTCCAGGTGTGTACATAATTGTATTAAAGAAAACATATTGCAGTACTACGGACATGAACATTGTTTTGTTTTTTTAAATTAAGTTGTGTGCATGAGTTTTACAATTATACAGTGTGCGGTTTTGTGCATTGGGTTGAATGTGTATATGTTTGTTTCATCTTTGTCACAAAGGATAAAGGGAAATCCACTTTTCTGCAGTAGCGTCCTGCGGGTGCTAACGGAAAACGATCAGGCAGGCGTAATGTTGTGAACAGATGTCAGCAATAAGTTCACCGCAGCCTAAATGACATGTGTGATATTGCCCGGTGCTAGAATAAATGCAGGTTAGTCATGTGGTCCGCAGGCTAAACAATGGGTGCTTCTCCTGGTCCAGCAAATAAACAAAGGACACTTTAAGGCAGAATATTTAATATTAACACAGTTTGAATTTATTTTCAGTGATGCTGAAAGGGTTACTTACAGAACATGATCATTATTAACAAAATATCAAACAAGGAAAGTAAAGAAAATATATCATTTTTTAAACATTAGGCTCACTTAAACCTATGAAAAGCAGATGTGAACTTTCTCTCCTCTATATTTAACATCCTACGTCAACACTGTCCATCACACCTTCGTGTCACAGCCGCTCTGCTCCCTGAATCAGCACAAGCGTCCGATATCGTTCTTGGTGCAGCCCTGACTGCAGCACTTCCCGGCCACACCCAGAGAAAAGTTCCTCTTCTTCTTGCTCGCTACGGGCCAGTCCCCTGCGGCTGGGTTCCCGTCTTGCTCACCTAAAACAGTGAAAGGCTGCGACTGAGGGGCAAAGTCGCTCAGAGGCAGCTGTTGCCTTTCTCTGCGGGCCGTGTACAGAGCCAGGAGGTACGCCAGGGAGGAAGAGGAGCTGATGAGGAGCGGAGAAGGGTTATCTGCTGAAAGCTCTGTCCCAGGCTGCCAGTCTGGCTGGTCGTCCCCCATTGTCACATCACTGAGGGAACTCCACTGGAAGGGAGCTGGAGAATCAAAGAGGGTTGATCCATATTAGCAGGAGTTACATATAAAGATCATATGCATCTTTGGTCAGTTAAAAACTAATTCAAAGATTAGAATGATAAGAAAATTGACATTTTGTAGAACTAAGGAGACAGGAATGATGGTTATACTCGCTTAAAGGATTGGTCAAAGACAAAATAAACATGAGCTGACCATGGTACTGAAATTAAGCTCTTTATATGGTCTGTTTAATGAAATGTGTGGAGAAATGATGCCTCTTTAAACCTGTTGCAGCCTAACCTGTTGATGTATATAACTTACAATTACAAATATGTGAGCGCTACAAATAAAGTAGGAACAAAATAATTATAGTTCCTTGCCTGTGCACCCTTTCTTATTCTCTTTCTGAAGCCTTAATGAGGAATCAATGTCTTACATTATAACTATACACCAGACTACTGTATATATAAAGACACATCTCAACATTAAAGGTTTAAAGAATATTTCAGAATAGTCTTTAAGGTCTGTATTCACATTTTTAAAATTAATTTTTTAAGATAAACACTTGTCCAATTAGATAGCACTGATGAACCAGCAGCATGTTGCTCACCTATGTCCCCGTCTGTGGAGCGTTTCCAGCGCGAGCCGCCGCAGGTGAAGATGACCGCTCTGATGAACTCTCTCCCGCACAGCTTCACCCCGTAGTCCCTCGGCAGCAGCAGGCTGCTCATCGTGTCCGCCTTCACACAGCTGCAGATGCCACCGACGCACACCACAGCCAGGGCAAGAGTCAATCTCCAGAGCATTTTCACTTGTCACTAACAGAGCCGGCTGCACAGGAAGGTCAAGCAGAGCTCCACCTCAGATCTGATCAGGGTTTCAAATCCTGGTGTGTAGCAGCCGAATGCTCAACTTGTGAAGGATGCTTCTGTTGGCTGTCTTGTGTTGCAGAGCTTTGTTTTCCCTCTTTTTGTTCTCTCTGGAAACCTACTCACTGGTTCACTCATCAACCTCTGCGTTCAACCCCAACCCCTCTCTCTCCCTCCCTCCCTCACGCTCTCCCTCCCTCCCTCACGCTCACGTCATTTAGATTGATGACAATGACGTACTTTGGAGTTATTTCTTTATTGTAACAACATTAGAGCGATATTCTTTTTTAGTGTTAGTGTGCTCATTACTCATACGCAAGTTGCAGTTACGATTTTGACACAAACAATGATGTCTTGTAAACCTCACTGGGAAGGATGTAGTTGCGTTTGTAATTCAGGCTTCTTTATCACTATGTCCAAAAGGGGGGTTTAGTTAAAGGTCACCATTATGCAAAATCCACTTTTTCACGTCTTTTATACATAAACATGTGTCCCTTCTGTGTAAAGAGATTCTGAAAAAATATTCTCACTTTTTGTCCTGATCCATTTATATAAAAACCTGTCTGAAAATGAGCGGATCAGATTTTGGCCACTTTATGATATCATAAAGATTTTTTGGCAACTATTTTCCGTCTATGATGGATTTTTTGTAACAGAGACGGAAAAATCTGAAAGCAGTCAGTCCATCCTTTTGACAGATTAGAACAAAGTCAGAACAGCGCCAAAGTTTCCCCGCAGCGAGGCTCCGGTGTTATGCACGCCCGACAAAAAGGAAATGATATTGTTTCCAAACCGTATTTTGCCGTACGAATCATTGAAATGTCTGAGTTTTTGCTTTACGCTGTGCGCGCTCCCGCGAGGTACAGTGGGCATGCATAACACGGCGCTAACAGTTCACGAGCGTGCGCCCGCCCCCCCCGTCTCCCTCGGAGCCTTGCCTTAAACTGGCATCATGTCACAAAATATGATTGTAGAAAAGAAAGACTTGGCAATATTTATTTTTATTTGATTACCAAAAATAGTTTCCATGATGTCATACATGAGTTAAAATTGTGGCAAATGCACAATTCATAAATATCAGCACCGTGTTATATTTTACATCCACTGAATACAGTTGTGATCAAACAAATAAAAGTTACAGGTGCAACAATGTCAACTAAAGCTTTGGTGTAAAGCTTCTTCGCAATCAAATTCCAAATTGGCAAATCCACTTTTCAGAAACCACGAACAAACCATTTAGTGATGGAGTGTGAAGTAACAATAATCTTCATCAGGACGCATGTCGGTAGTGTTGATTATTCTTTGTAGCTGCTTTGATTATGCAGTCCTGGCAAATTAATGAATCAACCAAATTGTATTTCTATAGCTTAATGAGTATTTTCTGCCCTCTAGTGGTCAAACATCTTGCTTAAACACAACATATTAAGATGTTTGCCAGGTGCAAATTACGTACAACAAACTGAGGCTAAGCTGCTCTTTAGGAAAAAGGACAAAATATAGGCAAACCAGACCAGCATGCTAACTGACTTTTCCATAATGCAATTTGAAAACGAGCGAGCTGCGTTGGTTTAAATATCTTCTGGAATTGTGTGAAAATTAAAATTAAGTATTTCATCTTTAACAATAATTCAAAACATTTGTATCCGTCTTCTGAGGGTTCAATTGGCAGTAGCTTTCCAAAGTTACACCCTGACTTTGAATGTGGAAACATTATTGATGTTACGGTGCTTTAATTAATTTGACATGTGTATTCCATGATATGCCGCATACTGACAGTGTAACACAACCCAAAGTATTTAGTTTGGCTTCAGTATGTGCTAACTCATGCATCTTTTATAACAATAGCTACAAAACAACAGCAACACTATTTATTATTTAAACTAATTTGAATCAAGGTCCATGATATAGAATTAGTGCAAACCATAGACTCAATAATGTCAAAGCAGCATAAAGCAGAATGGTGAATGCATCAACTGGACGGGGATGATGTGTTTTAAAGATAAACAACACCTCATTTCTCCAGGAAGGAGGCGAGGCTGCCTCTAGCGCGGCGAGCTTTCTCTATACTTTCGAAGGTTGGAGTCCCATGGGGCAAGTCCAGGCGGTCGTGGTCAGACGTCATGATACTCTCAGCCTCCCCTGAAGAGGGTACAACGGATACAGAAAACACAATGTGTGGTATTGTTGCAAATGGGTGTTAAAACAACTATTTTTGTCCTACACGTTCAAGAGTTATGTTACGGTCTTTTTTTATAAATTCATTCATTATATTTGGAAGCTAATTGTCTGCAGGGGAAAATGGAGGATTGGAAATAATGGTATGATTATATTTCTGTTATAGCTGGATATTTGTGTATATATTGTGGATCGACTAAATAGGTTTTTAAGACATCGATTATTGGAAAACAGCTAGTCAGGGAATGGATTTAAATGGGAGGAGAGTATAGTTTGGGAGTACACAGATTAGTTTAAATATAATATACTAATGTCTGACCAACCATTTAATTAGATTGATATGCAATTGCAATTAATGTGTCAGAATATCACTTAACTTTAGTAATAAAGGCATTTCTAATAACATTTGTCAATGAAGAGGTCTCTTGATTGTTGTTAAATGTGGATGAAATGTAATGGATCTTAAGAAGATAAAGGCGAAGTCCTACCTCTCACTCGATAAATAAGTGTCCCATAGGCACTGTCCACCTGGTAGGCCATTATGAAGCCCAGAGGAACAATGGGAGCCAATAGGAATGGCTTCCTTCTTTTAATGGCTCTGAAGCAAAGCGTAGAGACAAAAAGAAGAACTTCTTAGTATCATCGCCTGTTATTCGGTGAAGTAGGATAAATAAAAGCCTTCAACTTCTATGATTGCATCACAATTATATTCAATTACATACATTTTCATCTGCCAACGGCATTAGCATGAACACAGTAATACAGGTGTTGTTGCATCAACTAAATCCTAGGAATATAGAACAATACATGTATATTGAGAACAATGTCATGAGATTCATTAAATATTAAAGCTGTGAAAATGTACTGCTTTCATATACAACCAGGCATAGGTCTCCACACTAAGCACTATTACAGGATGTCTGTATGCTTGTGATAGAAACAAAAAAAACATATTTTATCCTGAACAAAACACCTGGGAGTTGAACCTATGAGCTGTTTTACACAAAACTCACCCTACAGTTAGTCCAACTGTAGCCAACGTAAAGAAAGTCCCATAGTATTTGAGAAACTCTCTGGACCAGGCAACCTGCATCGCCATCTGTCTCTCTCTCATCTGGTTCTGCATCACCATCTGACGCTCCATCTGCACACACACACACACACACACATACATACATACATACACACACACACACGTCATCAGGCAGAAGAGAACTTTGAAACCAAATAAGGACACTCTAGTGCCTCTCAGTGTAACGAGCTTTATCCCAGATATATCTGTATATTTGTATGTTGACTAACAAAAAACTAAATATTTAAAGATCACAATTGCCCAAGATATGATTGGGGAAATGTAGAAACAGTATCTTCATTATATATTTTGTCTACCAGAAAGTACTGACAACTTTATTTTCAAAAGTAAAATAACCCAACGCCAAGAGCGGGATTTAACGGAAAAAAACATTTGTTTAAGGTACGTGTTCATATGGAAATAAATATTTGTGTACATAGCCATGGAGTGTCCATGCTGATGAGCCTCAGTCAGAGGAATCTTTTGTCTGCCGTTTCCTGTCTGACGTTCACTCACATCTTCATGCACACACATATACATGCTATTGAGCTGCCTGAGTGACACGCTAATTAAAAAAGCCTTTATCCTGAAATGAGTGAATGTGTCAAAGATGAGCTTCTGTTTCCACTTAGGGAATGTGACATTAACACACTAATGACGCAAAGGGTAAAAGAATACAAATTGACCAGACGGTGACGCGAGGAGATGACATAAATTACAACATGTCGGACAAGCAACGTTTTGATTTCTGACTTCCCGCCCATAGTCCCCATCACTTCTGTATATTTGCATTAATGGCTGAACATCGAATGGAATTTAATTGTAATTGAATGAAAGTTTCTGCTGGCCCGCACATAGGCAACAACACTATACACACTCTCACATACCAATACATTTTATACTCATGAATAAAACTACAATATAATGCTCGATTTGAGTAATTGTTGAAATTTGAGCCACCATCTTGAAAGGAACAAAGCAAAACATCGATGCCTAGGATCGTGAATTATTTGTAAAGCATCTTTGAGCACCAGGAAAAGCGCTATAAAAACAAGGTATTATTATTAAATGTATTACTAAAATCAACAACATTTTGGTTTAAAGTGAAAAACTAAATTATAAAAGAAAAGTTTTAGGATCAAAAAATGAATCGTAATAGATGAATTACAACTCTTCCATTAGCGTTCCCAATCCAGCCCCATGCTAATAGCTAGCTAGCTAAATCTAGCACAAGATATAAACGTTGTACTTCTGAAACTAGGCTTGTATTTCTTTGGCTCAGAGTGCATTAGCTGCACACGTGAACACAGAAGGTTGTTATTCACCTGAATTATTAGTTTATGGGATGCTTGCCAACTTTGTCTTCATGTGTTGCAAGAATAGGCGTTGAATGGAGCGCATTGATGCAATCCGGTCAAATGGGCATTAATTGTTGAAAGATTCCCAAAAATTCCAGAGCTTAACATCCCTTGGAGTTTTTCTGGAAATGTATCGGAAGTTGCACGACACTTTGGAAGTCTGTACTTGACAGAATGTGATTCCTGGTGTGAACGTGTAACGTGTGGAGATTAGCTTATTACATATCAGTAGAAGGAGAAGGAAAGTTATGCATCTTGGGAAACAGCAGGATTAAACCCGCCGGGTGGAGACGGCACTGGTAGGTGAAAGTACAGTAAAAGGCACTTAGGCTAATGAATCACAAATCCCAATCTACACTTTAATTGGAATAGTATGCTTTTAGATTGATATTGGAGAGTTTGATTCATATTTTTGAACATAAATAAGGCTTGTTTCAATCAAAAACCACTCGGAAAAACACTAAATGTGTTAATAGTATATCTAGATATAGTCATATTGGCACATAATTTATTTTAATGAATAACTTGTCTGCTCGCCTGCAGCTCTTCTCTGCCATTTTTAGTCGTACCAAATGGCTGCCGAGCCCAGACATTTCCAACAGTGCAGCTAACTCCCTATCAGACACATTAGTTGATTTAACAATGGTTGTCACAAAGGTAGCTGAAATCATTTTGGTGCCTTGTCAGATTTAATTAAAGTTACAATCAATCAAAGACTGATTAAAGCACGGAAATCCACAGCTGGTTAACCCATTATTTTTCTCTTATGAGAATAAATTGAATGGCTTTTTTTTTTTATAATTTAAATGTTTGATTATTGGTTGGACAAAATGTATCATTTGTAGATGTCAAACATATTATTAAACATGAAAAAGAAAAAGAACAGACTGGGAAGACGTGATTACACTCCCTTGTAC